GGCAATGAGCGGATAAAACTGTCCCCTCCTTTTCTGCTATAATCCAGATAGGGATCAAAAGTCATTCATTCTCTGCGAATGTCTCACCTTTGCTAACACAACAAATTTGTTTGCGATTATGTGGCCTTTTACGCTGGTTATAAATCCCGAAACCATCTGATTGTAGGCTTGTGAAAGCCTTAAACTGTTGTTGCGTGTAGAAGCTCGTCTCCAAAACCAGATAGAAAAGGAGATCTGTAGATTCAACTGGGGGCAAGCAGTCTGGTTGAAAATTCTTACTCTGGTTAAGGACGGGATCGATTCCAATCGCCGAAATGTTTTCCAAATAACGCTGCCTTACTCGTGGTTCTAGCTTCGTGGCGTACTCAGAAAGAGGAGGATGGATACTGATATCTGTATTGGCACTTAATTTTGCTTCCGTTACTGTAGTATTCATTTTTACAGGCAGAAACTTTTGATGTGCTTATTATTTGCAAATGTAATATTACCCTGGGTTGTACACAAATATGGCGACCGGAAATGATGTGACGTCACGTGAAAACGATCTCTTTAAGTGTTGTTTTCGATCGATTTTGGCGAGCATGTGTCAACAGAAGTTTCCGACCTTCCCGTATTTTGTGCACGGTGATTTTGTGCGTCAAGCTAAAACACATCAAAACGGCCTCAAATCGCGAGGAGAACAATACAGACTACTCTCTTTGAAGGTAAGACCTTATTTCTTTGATTATTCCACACAACTTTATATTTACGGAGCTCAAAAGCAAGTCCAACTAAGCCACTATACAAACTCTTTAATCATGCACTGTGAAGGAGCCTGTGACAGAGCTTGGGCCACCTGTGATTACATTAATAATACATCTTTACCATCAAACCACTGAAGATTACATGTTAAGTGATTCCCTACCGTCTTAAAAAATTGAACGGGACCCAGGTTTCTCACCAAGCATAACTGTTACCACTATATAAGTATACTTGAGTAGGTACATCGTTTCATCATTTACCAATTGCATATGTTCTTTTTGCATGACAGATCTTTTTAATGCTTGGGAAAAATGCTTATTTGTAATGTGGTCGCTTTACAATACTCAACTTAAGAGCTTGTCACAATATCATGAATGTATGTTGCTAAATCGCTCAAAATTAGCTCAACCGGCTTTTTTAAATAAAGTTTCTGGATCTCAAATTTCATCCTTGAGTTATCACCATAACTACCTCTCTACTGCAGGCATTGATTAAAAAGCTGAATCCTCGTTATAGGATATGGACTGGAGACGGACGCCGTTTCCCACCTCCGGAATCTCGGAAGTAATGGTGCTTTGTGAAAACGTCGAGAGCCGGCGAAGCGATAAGCTCGGTTCAGTCCGTTGTACAGCTGGTTTGAGCGAGGTTAAGAGGTTTTTAAACACAGCCTTAAAACTTTTGTTGGAAAAGGCGAAAAGGAACGGATTAAGCGCTGAGTTAAGGTAACCAAACATCAGTAATACCAAGTAAACTTTGTAAGGAAACGATTCCCAGTTGTGGCCGTCGATAATACTAGCAACGACAAAATAGCAGTAAGGTTGCCAGCAGAGGAAGAGAGTCAAAACGAACTTTGAAGTCGTCTTAGCTGCTTTGACATTGTTTAAATACATCTTTTTTTCCTCCTTTGAGGGCTGTCGAATGGAAGGAAAGTTGCCTCTTTTGGAGTATCGATTGTTCTTGACAGCAATACAATATACGAGGAGGAAAAAAACGCATGTGATCATCAAAGGGAGAATGACATTAACAAAGGACATAACAAGTGTAAATTCCTTTGTGTATGGCAGCAGGCAGATACCATCATCATCTACCTCTCCTTCGTCTCGCCAACCCATGAAGACAAAAAGCGGCCATAGAGCGCAGTACAGCCAGATGATTGCTATGACAATTAGAGCTCTGGTTTGAGTCATGACCTGTGAACTTTTAAACCGCGCCAAAGGATCGCTAAGGGTCTTGTATCGATCCACGCTAATGGCCAACAAGCTGAAAATCGAGATGGGTACGGTTATCGTGAACACCACCTGCCAAACTATGCAGAATGCTTTTCCATGATTCCATGCACCTTTAAGGAAAAGTGATTCTATATCAAACGGTATTACGATCGTTGCCGTGAGAAAATCTGAAAGAGCCAAGGAAAAAATGAAAAGATTCGTCGGTTTGTGGCGGAGATGTTTATTAGCAAGTATTGCGAAACAGACCAAGAAGTTTCCAAAGACTGCCACCGCTGTGATGACTATGTAACAGGCTGCAACAGGATACGAAAACTCTGGTTTAAAACCAAAGGAAACGTCCTCGTCGGTAAACGGATCTGCAGCGGAACTGTTGTTCATCCTGTTATTGAAGAGGCTGTTCTGGAACGTGCAAATTTCGCGGCTCCAAGTGGTAGAGAATAGAACTCAAACTTTTCCCGAAGCCTACGGTGATTTTTTCACTGTTATACCGCACTAGTCACTGCAAGTATTACGATATGACGTTTCGGCGTTTCCACACCACATATTATAGCATTCGATTTGCTAAAACAACAAAGCTGAAACAACAAAGCGCTAAATCTAAAATAAGTAGGATGTCGGCCGTCTCGACGATTTACGTAACAGCTTGAGATGTTTTGGAGGCTTTTCTTAACCAGTAGCACTTGACTTTGGCAGAGTATACCACACTCAATATATATCACTCTGACCTCGCATCATTCACTGGACCCAGAATTATAATTTTTGATAACTATGTCATTGTAATAAACCCACAGATAGCTTCATTACTTGGGGTAGGATAGACAAATCAGATCTGCTTCTGCAACAGAATGACACACTAAGCCGCCATGTGTTTTTTTTTTTTTTTTTTTTTCTTTTACTGATTTAACTAAAACACAATGAGAAATAACTATAACTATAACGATGACTGCAGAAATACAGTAAGGAAACTTCTCAAAATAACTCGTCGAATCTAAAGAAACGATATTGCAACCTATTTCAGAATATCGAAAGATATCTGAAACATAATACTAACACTGCAATATTCATTTTTACTGTGATGTCTTATCTGGTTGAATTCAAAACACGCGATAATTTACACGCTATACTGAAAGAATATGTTTTTCAGGGATTGATGACTGAGTTGAGGTAATGAATCGTATGGTATACTGGCGAGAGATTTTTCCATCAAAATATCATCAGTTGCCACTTATTTCCTAAGTTAAAGTACGCTTAAGCAGAACGTCGGAAAAGCAACAAAGCCGCATCAAAGAATCAGTTACGTTTATTCTTCTCGAGAAAAGGTTTTGGTTAAGAGGAAAGAGGTTTTGGTCACGTTTATGTGAAAAACAAGTTACATCGTTCAAATTGAGAATCCCATCTTTTAGTAATTTGAACGCAACCAATTTAAATATATGACGCAAAAGTCTGCAAGTCAACAAAGCCACAATATTTCCAGCTAAGTGGTTTACCAAACTTTGTCCGTCGCCATGAAAGCCTTCAACCATCGTATCATAAGACAGGTCAAAATTAGCAAAAAGCAAAAACCAAACAACAAATGAAATAATTCTTTATTTCATTTCATGATATCGTCTATATAAGAAATACATAATCACTTTATCTTTTTAATTCAGTCATTACGTTAAAGCGAGGTTATTTCTCTCACCCTAGATTTATTTTTTTCACAGATCTTGTCCCTCTGACGTCATTGCAGTCTTAGCTTTGTAGACAATATATTTTCTAGATCGGATGCAGGCTGAAAAGTTTCCTACAAGCGAGTATATAGCGTACCAAGTTGACATTTTCTGATGACCAACACTGCTTTTGGTGATTACACAGAAATTTTGATGACAAATGGATAGGTAACCTCGTTCCCATGGTCTTTTCCCATACCACCCCTAAGTAAGGGAAATGCCGTGGGAACGAGGTTGATGGATAGGCAAAGAAGGACAATGAAAAAGACTTTGCAGAATTATCATGGCGGTAGCATTTAGTTAAGGAACTTAAACGAACTTTTTATGCATGTTCTCGCTAGGCAGTGGTGCTGTTAGGCTTTGCAGTTAGTTTTAGCTGATCGTGTCACAGTAGCTTGAAAGTAAAAAGTGGAACCCAATCAGTGGTGGACCCAAGTGTGATTCCTACGGAAGAAATTGTTTTGGTTCTTACTGAACGTTGCCACTTATGACTCAACCAAAAAATGTACTGCAAACAAAACATTAATCCTCTCTTATTTTCATTTTATAAAGTGAGCTAATACTTTATTTCTTTCTTTAAATGATTTTAAACAAATTCTCAGAAGTGCGAACGGCATCACATGAATTACACACCATAGACATAAGAGCAGCATACACCTCTTTGATACCAGTAATGATATATAGTGTAAGCTACGATAACTTTGATCATGTTGTTCAAAAGAAACCTTATTTTTTGTTACTCGGTATGAATTTCTTGGTTCCTTCGACAAACTAAGAGCTCTTGGATCATTTTTATCTTACCACACTAAAGTGGCGCCACCGACGAAAGAACTAGAAGCGTCGGCTTCACAGTACAGTGACAGACATGCAACAACTTCCTAAGTTATAAGGTTTTTGCTTCAGTTATGTTTCATCCTTCTGCCTTCAGACCTACTCCTTTCCTACCGTAATTTCTGGAAAATTTGAATTTTTAAAATTACATTTATTTGTATCTTATCAGCTGAAAAAAACTGCTGCAAATATGGTATAATGGTGTACTTTCGATCTGGGAAACATATCCCTCGAAGACAAATATTTTCCAAGCCCTTGGAAATTCTTTAATATCTCATTAAAAATTTTTTAGCTTTTAAAATATGCGCATTTACAGTAATGCACACGATATAACTGAACTAAACTATTTTAGTGTAGTGTTCAGCTTTATCAAGCTCAGTGGCATTTGAATGTTGAATTGACAGGTGCGATTGATGCGTAGAGGTAGAACACATTTTTGCATACACATCTCTGAAGTGCTTGTTCCGAAATGCGAAAAGAAAGGGATTCAGCGCCGAGTTGAGGTAACCAAACATTAACAGCACCATGTAGACTTCGTAGTGAAACGATGTCCAGTTTTCGCTGTTAATGGTGTCAACGACAACAAAAAGTGCGTAAGGCTGCCAGCAGACGAAAATAGCCAGCACGAACACGGAGCTCCTTTTGGCAGCCTTGATATTCTTCAAATAGATCTCTTGCTGTTCCTTTGTGGGTTGTTCGGATGAATTATGTTCTGTGTTGCTTAGAGCCTTCTCATGCTTCCTTGTGATGTGATATACCAGGATGGAAAACCCACACGATACCTGCAGGGGAAGAACGATGTTCAGAAAGGAGCTGGCTATGTTGTAGGCTTTTGTATATGGTATCATGCAGATGCCATCTTCAAGAACGTCGCCTTCTTTCCGCCATCCCATGACAGGGAGAAGAGCCCATAAAATGCTGTAAAGCCAGATTGTCGCGATGACTATGAGGGCTCTCTGTTTAGTCATGAACCGTGAGCACCCAAATCGGCCGTGAAAACCGCTGAGGGTTAGGTATCGATCAACAATAATGACCAGCAGGCTGAAAATAGAGATCGGTACAACAAAGAGGTACACCAATTGCCACGTTAGACACAAGGCCTTCCCGTGTTTCCATGCGAAGTTCAGGAAGAGTGATTCTACGTCAAATGGCATGGCAAGGATTGCTGTGAGAAAATCTGCCACAGCCAGGGACAAAAGCAACAGGTTTGATGGATTGTGGCGCAGATTCGTGTTGGTGATTATGGCGTAACATACCATGAGATTCCCTACGATTGCCACAGCTATGACAACAATATAACAAACAGCTACTGGATACGCAAAGGATGGCTTGAAACTGAAGGGAGTTTCCAAATCTTGCGTGAAATTCGACGTTGTGTTCATTGCAACTTTTAAACCGGTCTGACTTGGATCTAGTGTACGTATGTAAATAACTCTCGCAATCTGCTAAGTTTCTGCTATTAAAATGCAGCCTTCGTTAATCTGCACGTAACTCTGCAGACTGTAAAATGTGAAGATAAAGGATTGCAGACTGACCAGCTTCTTGATATACACATGCAGTTTGTCTATTTTAGGCTGGAATGTATCTATATTGGTGAGGGGAAATATCATGATACAGTTTGCGTGGTAATCAACATTTGTGGGTGAATCAGTTGTGTAATATTTAGTATTTCGCAGTTTCTTTCATTTCCTTAATCAGTTTAAATCTGCTCTTGTCTTTGCAACTTTAGAGTTTTGTATAATATCTCTGTATTTGAACGAAGACACTTTTTCTGACTTGATTTTGTTTCTTTTTCTCCTTGGAAAATCGCTTCAGAAAACAGTATCGGACGGAAATCTGAACCACTCCGGAGGCATTACTGCAGTTACTTTGACGTAAATAAGTGACATCATTCCATCTTATTTTCTACTTGGAATGAAGACACTCCAAGTCTAATTACGTATACGTAGCATTTTCATCAGCAGTTAACTTTGTATAATGGGAGGGATTCCATTAGTTTATTTCATACCATCGTTTTTTTAAGGATTTGGTCGTTTGTTTGATTCTAAGAGGAGTGTACGTTCTTTAATGTATACAGAAGCTTAAGCAGTTGATAAGAGACAAAACAGAACTGTAGGGAAAATTATCTCTCAAGGCACCGTCTTCATTAATTCTTTCCTCTTCAGCATCTGTAAAAGAGACTGGCATTTTTTTGTTGGGCCTCTACATCCACTGAGTCTAGCATTCCGATGGTATTTCATCCCCCGCGAACAAATGTTTATGACGACGAGGAAAAATCAAGAATTCTTCGGGCTAGAAGTGAAACAATGTGGCAGGTTTTTGTCTTAGGGTAAAAGTTTACTATTCTTGTCAGTGAATAGTAGGATTATAGGTTAGCACACGCGGTTGAAGTAGCTCGTGGCAAAAATCCCGGACCAAAAATGTTTTAGATTAGGAAAAGAGATTCACTTAAGTGGAGTCAAGTAAAAACTATTTAATATGAAGCCTTCTCATACGATGGTGCGGTTTCTTCTTGATGCCAGGCTTTAAGTAAATCAATATGCAAAAAGGAAATACATTTTCTAAATGACTAATGGCGAATACATAAATAATTTTTATAGTGAAATATACTGATGATCAACACCTAAACTATACCACGATTCACTGCTGCATATTCATGATAGTGTTTTGCCATCTTTTCAAGGGCTTTCATTTAAATGTTTTTTTTTGTCAGTGACTCACAACCAATATGACAACGTTAGAAGCCAGGTATTTTATAATGTATTTTTAAATCACGTAAACTTATCGCACTTAGCTCTTCATATTTATAGCGCTATGCATCCAAACTACCGCATTAAGTTCTAATTGGAACTGCTTCTTTATTGCACATGATGCTGACATTCAATTTTCGAAGTACGATACGGATCGGAGACGGCAATTGTTTTCCAGCTCTGGAATCTCAGAAGTAACAGTGCTTTGTGAAAACGTGGAAAGCCGGCGGAGTGATAAAGCAGGTTCGGTCGGTTTTAAAGCAGGTTTAAAAAGATTTTTAAAAGCAGCCTTGAAACGGTTGTTGCTGAAGGCGAACAAAAAGGGATTTAGCGCTGAATTAAGGTAGCCCAACCACAACAGCGACATGAAAACTTTGCAAGGAAATGTCCACTCTTCGTCTAGCATGGTCTCGACGATGATAAAGTAACAGTAAGGTTGCCAGCAGAAGAAAAGGGCTAACAGGAAAGTGGCAGTCGTCTTAGCGGCTTTGACATTCTTAAAATACATCTTGCATTCTTCTTTGGTAGGTTCTCGGATGGAGGGAAAGCCACCACGTTTGGTGAATCGACTGTTTTTGACAGCAATACGGTAAATCAAGATGTAAAAAATGCATGTGATCATTAGCGGGAAAATAATGTTGAAAAAAGAGCTAAGAATGTTGTATTCTTTAGTGTAGGGCAGCATACAGACACCATCGTCGTCTGGTTCGACTCCTTTTTCTCTCCAACCCATGAAGACAAAAAGTGCCCATAAAATGCTGTAGAGCCAGATTATCAAGATGACTATCAAAGCCCTCTTTTGAGTCAGGAATTGTGATTTCTTAAACCGAACCAAAGGATCCCTAAGGGTCTTGTATCGATCCACGCTAATGGCCAACAAGCTGAAAATCGAAATGGGTATGGTAATGAGGTAAACAACCTCCCAAATTATGCAGAATGCTTTTCCATGATTCCATTCAAAACCAATTCGAAAGAGTGCTTCGATGTCCAATGGCATCACGATTGTTGCTGCAAGAAAATCCGAGAAAGCGAGGGAGAGAATGAAGAGATTAGTCGGATTGTTGCGAAGATGACTGTTAGCAAGTATTGCGAAACAGACTAAGAAGTTTCCAAAGACTGCTACAAATGTTATTGTTGTGGCGCAGGCGGAGACGGGATACGAAAACTTTGGTTCGAAGATACACGAAGTTTGCTCGTCGTGAGATGAATTTGCATCGGAGCTATAATTGTTCATCTTTACCAGGCGGTTCTGACGTTGAGGCTTTTGGAGGGAATTGGAACAAACTTTTCGAGCAGCCAGTCGGTAGTTTTCTAATAACACAGAGCTTCTGAGAGCCGAATTTGAATCAATGCTCAGCACTAGTCACCACGACGTTTTTATGAAATGGAGTTTCCTTGTTTCCATTTGGATAAGTTCAATGAATTTGATACCCATGAGTTAGAAAACAAGCTAAAATATCTATTGCATCAGCATAATTTATTCAAAGGTATTGGTGTTATCAAAGTTGATACTTGATATTTGCAGAGTTGACCACTCTCGATATATTTTCAGTGACATCTCGATATCCGCTTGAACTTTCATTACACGAAGAACTGATACCATTATCGGATAAAAAAAGAACAATGGTTATCTAACTTACTCAAAGAGAGACGTGAGAGCTGCTGTCTACAAATAGCACTAGACTTCCAACCGTAATCGCGTGAAAAAATAGTTGAGCCAAATGTGATCTTCGAGTATTAACAAGTGTGTCCTTAACTTACCTTGGCTTTTACTTTGATGACATAATTCAACCGAAAAAACACATGACACATTGTCAAAGGAAGTACTCGTTCGTCTGTCCGTTAATGGATTAATTCTTAAAATTACTTTGGCATCTGGAGAAATCTTAAACACAGTATTATCACCGCATACCTTGTTATGTCTCATTTCCTCGTTGTTTCCAAAGCATTCGAGCTTTTTTCTCACGCGCTAAGAAGAGATGTCTTTTTTTTTTAGATTGAATATTGTCAGTGAGATATATAGATCTATTTGGTGCATTTTCCCCGTTGTGGTATTGATTGGAGATCGTTGCCATCTTGAAATAGCATCATCGTGTTATTGTCGGGTCTATTTCCTCTCGCTCAATATAAAGGGGAAACATACCAGCAAAATCGCAGTTGAAGAAAGCCACAACAGTTTATTGTTTAGTTTGTTGGGCAGATTTACCTTTTTTCGAAAGGGTGTCTGGCCAGAAAGCTGCGGCTTCAGGTGAGGTTTTTTTTTTTACCTGTGGGGTGGATTTCTGGCTCTCTTCGTTCCATCCCCATTCCTCCTCTTTTAGACCTCGAGGAAGGAGCGCGGTCTAATATCCTGAGCTGCAGCCGGCTGCTGACGGATAACGAGACGTTTAGCGTTGCAGCTAAGACAAACAGCAAATAAATGACTCGTCACCCTCTGCTTACAGCCGTTTGTGCAATTGATTGAAAATCTTTGGAATGACTATGAACATGAGAATTATTTCAACTTTTCAAAAGTGTTTATTCAGACAATATTTTCGCGGCTCTGTTGTAATTACCTCGAGTGGGGTAATTATAGCGAGATATGACGTAATCCTCGACCAATCAGAGCACAGAAATCTCTATAATTATCAAAGCAATTATATTGATATGTCCTTAATTTTAGAATCTGTTTTCTTTTTGTATTTTTTTGCAATATAAATACATGGTAAGGAAAGAAAGTTGGAAAACGAACAAAGCTACAACAATATTTCCGGTTAAGCTTTTTCCTTTTATGAGAAGTGTTTGTCCAGAAGGCCGCAGGTTTTGATGACTGACTTTTTTTGCCCTTGGATATTGACAAATCGTTCAAAATTTGAGGGAAAAGGACGCTAAAAGAAAATTTGAGATGCCATTATTTTTTTCAAAAAACAAATCAAACACTTCCTTCTTAGTTTGCTATCATCACTTTAATGAATAGATCATGGTTTTTTTTATTTACTGCTCCTCTGAAGTTACTCTTGTTACTAAATCACTGTTTATATTACATCGTCCCGTATTTACCTCCCCTCTGACGTTATTGCACTTTCAACTTTCCGCTTAGGTTGGTTGAACGCCATCCAAAATAATGCTATTATCATATCCGTATCACAAAAGAAAATTAATGAATATCGGCTTCAATAATCATTTACATCTGAGTGCTCATTTTTAATTCTTTTTTAGAGAAAGTGGAGAAGGAAAACTCTGGAATTTACCTTTAGAAAGTCAGTATTGAAAGACACTTTTCCTTATTTTTTCACTTATAAATTATGTCGTGTATTTCCGTCACCCATAGAGTAGGTCCTTGATTGAGAAAGCTAGTTTAATAAAGATAACTTCGTATTGATCTCGTTGGGATTCCACGATTATATATTGCAAAAAAAAAAAAAAAATTTCTCACAAATTATTGGTACGTGCAATGGAAAGGAAATCTGCTAACCTCCCTACTTAGCAAAGTGTGCAAGAACGTCCAAGAGGAGCCTCACCTCCAACAATTGGACAATGAAGCGATGAATTTAAGATCAGCCACAACAAGTTCCGAAGCGAGATTGGATGTGAAGACTGATGGCTTCTGGTCGCGCGGAGTGACAGCATTTTTCGATGTCAGAGTGACGCGTGTCCATTCCAAGACTAACCAAGGGAAATCAACTGCAGCAATTTTCAAGGAACAGGAGAGCGAGAAGAAGAGAAAGTACCAACAAAGGGTGTTAGAAGTCGAGATGGGCTCCTTTATTCCACTTATTTTTGGAACCAACGGCGGGATGGGCGAAGAATGCAAAATGTCTATGAAACATTTAGTGGAGAAATTGACAGAGAAGGACGTTGAAAGTTACCCATTTGTTATTAGCTTGCTCAGGACCAGGATTTCTTTCAAAATATTAAAGTCTGTTGAATAGGCGTTCCTGTCGAAGCCTATCCCAAAGTCGATAAGAACGTGACGAGGGACAGAATCTTTGTAGAAATCCCCGTTTTATTCTGAAAACAATCAGTTAACGGCTAAATCACAATGCTGCTAAGGTTACGAAAGTTACCAACATACCGACAACCGGCTAAAATAACTAACAAGAAATCCAAAAAATAAGAACGCCAAGATAAAACAACAAAGCCTACCGATTATCGACGTTTGGTAAAGGATCCGGAGGCGGACAAGGTAAAATTAAACAGCTTCGAAAGATACAAAATAGCTCGAGCACATGCACGTGGAAAAAAGGAGCCGTGTTTTTTTTTTAA